CCGAACATTTAATTGGCGCGCAGTTTAATGACTGTACATGAATTTCAGAAAAATTCATATAGAATTTATAAGGCATCTATGTTACAGCCGTGACCGTAAAGGCGCTCTCGAAGTTAGTTGTGTTATTCACTTAGGCGGACTTATTAAAAAAATTATTTAAAAATTTCTATTATTTTAGAACAATTAGATGCTGATAGCAGCGTTTTTTTACCATACCCTCAATATCATTTATGCTATGCAATATTTTTTTATTTTTATACGGTTACTTTTAAAAGGCCAAAAGCAGGAAGCTAGGATAGCTTTACTTCGTATCCGCGATCTGCATCGCGAAACGATAGAGTTTCAGGAAGAGTTTACTAAACTGACAAATTATACTGAATTGACAAACAAAATTCGAAATATCTCGAAATTCTCAAATAGACACCTCCTCAATCAAGAAGACCGGATAATGATTGTTTCTTTTGAATACGTGAAGATTATTAAAGAATATCCGGATAATAATCCTTTTACCAGAAATATGGAAACCGTTTGTGAATTGTGATAGTGATTGTCTATACTTCTTTCTTCAGAAGTTTAGTGGGGTGTGATTATATTTTATACTGTCGATATAATCACGAGGGTCAACATCACAGTAGACCCATACTTTGTCACCGTCGTATGTAGTAAATGTGATCAACACATGCTGTAGCATGAGGTAATTCTTATTGTTGGCCTGCAATTATTATGCTACATAAATCACACTATATATTTATAATATATATATAAATAAAAAGTAAAAAATTAATCTTTGACGGCATTAAAATTTAATAATATTGAAAAAACAGTAATTGTAATACTAGAACGCAAATGAACAATATAAAATTCAATTCTGTTTGAATTAAACTAAATGATTATATAATTCTGATATTTTTTGTACCAAAAACTTTGTTATTAATCTATTCTACCACTAAAATATAATGCTTATAGAACATTTGTTACAAGACACAATTTATTGATTCGAACTATAAATGATGCTCTGAGAAATTTCTATAATAAATTTCAGAAGTAGTCGTCGAACAATTTCGATTGTATCCGGTGCGGATATATCAATCTGTTTCGGCATTTTATCAATGTATGCAATTTTTTGAAAATACTACCGTTGCGACTGTACCCCTCGTTTGCATCCTCTCCTACGTAGTAAGAAAATAATATTTTTATAAGAATATTTGTAGTACCTTGTCCATTAAATAAGTTGAAACTTCGTTTTAAGAAGTTTTGATAATAACTTCAACATAATTTTAAATCCAATATAGATATTATAGATACTTTGGATATTAGCTTCTTGGAAGTATTTAACAATGTACAATATTTACTATAGCTTATAGTTATAGTGTTCACTATATTAATATATAAATTGCAGGCATTTGCATCATTCGGTTTTTCTACGATTTCTTGAACGATGATTCTGAAAGTTTATTTCACCAAGTACATATAAACATTTTTGGGCAGCTTTTTGCAGTGATATTTGTTCAATTATATTTATTTATATTCATTAATATACAATTATATCCAATTAATAGTAACGTAGAAATGCTACTATTTATTGTTATTGCATAACATCTATCATAGCGACTCTTTTTGTAACGATTGCGTTGCCGGAGACATAAGGGAAGACGAAAATACAGATAGAAGAAGAGTTTAGAGGCAAAATGTCGATAGAGAAAAATTGAAGACGCGTACTAAACGAGTGAATTAAGTAACGGATAATAAAATGTTGCTAATTTAATTTATGCAATTGGATGCAAAACAAAAAAACGAGAGTTTATAAGACGTAAACACTTCTCCGTTGCAAAATAAATATTTTCTTTTGGAAATTAATAATCATTTAATCTTAATATCGGAACTGATGAAAGCATTTAAATAATGTCTTTATTAGCTGTGTTTCCTAGAATAAGTGAAAAAAAATTTACACATTGATATTATTACAATCAAGACATGAGACGCGAGATATTATTAAAGATGGAGGGCCAAATGCAAATTTTCGTGATTGTCAAGTAGGCCTAGACCTATTTTCTTACAGTCAAAATAGTTGGTAATGTCATTGTTTTTCAATAATTGTCATTATCAACTTTTTTGACTAAAAGAAAATATAAAAAATACGCATATGTGAACGCTGTTGTTGGTGTGTAATTTCTAATCTATTTCATTCTTTCTTAAAATTTTCTTATTGTAAACGTTTTAGCTTTATTCAGATCATCTTCAGCGCATTCCATTCCCGAAGTTAGAAAATTATTGTACATTTCCACCAATAAACGCTAAGTAGTGATGCTCCATAAGTAATAAATTAACCTACTTCACAGATTGCAAGCCATAATCTATATTGTTAAATGAAAACAATTAATAAATGAAAAACAGTTAAAGTAAAAGAAAATTGACTCATTCGTGTATAGCACGTCAAATTATAATAAAAGTTCGTCAGAATATATTATAAAAATTGTACAGAATAACTTTATAAATTAATGTAATTTATGTAATGTTAAAACATTAAAACTAGTCGGATCAGAATAACAATATCACAAGTCATATATCCTAATACGGCAATCGTCAAAGTTAAAGGTAATAAAGATGTTTCCAAATAATAAATAAACATGTATAGACATAAAAATAAATAAAATAAGAAACATAATGTCTTGAACTAAATAGTAAATTAAAATTATTGTTTAAAATTATTAAGCGATTGATGGATAAGCATGGTGTACAATTAACGGCTGAATTTCCGAAAACGTTACACCTCCGATTTCGATAAAATTTTGTCAAAAGCTATATTTTGGACTAAAATAAAAATCCTTACAGAAACATTGCTTATAAACGCCATATTTGGTTCTTTCAATCTATATGCCTATTTATCTTGTAAACTTACAATAATAAGCAAATTTACGGCCAGATTTGTATTCAGCATTCCAAAAATCTACGGTAAATGTTTAAAGAAATCTAATCCATATCTATCATGTCGACCGGTGTAATGTACGTAATTACAATTTACTCCTATTCGCATTATTTTCTTCCAATCAAGTTCGAACATTATTCTCAAAGTTTGATCCTTCTGTATCTTTGAGTTTTAGTTTTGCTGAACTAGACGACTGAAACTTAATAAATATTTTTTTATTGCATCTATTTTATATATGACTATATAAATAATTTTTGTGTAGTTTGTTGAAATGGTTAAAGTATAGTTTAATAGAAGAATACTTACAGCAAATGTTAAAACACGAGGCTTTTCATTTCGTTTTGCAGATTATTTCTTCACTGCAATAAGCGCAATTATGTAAAATAACTGCAGCTATATTGTATATACATATATCCTTACTTCAATATAAAAAAAGAAACAAAGATTAAAGAAACAAGATTATAGATCAAACATTAATTGTGTAACATTGATAGAGATAATCAACCTCATGATAATGTTCTAATATTACTCTGTAGTGTAAATTGGCAAGAATAAAATACAAAATAAATAGTTACATTAACCACAAATGGTAATAATTAATAAAATAAATTCTCTGCGTAATTAAACTTGTTTAATTATTATAATGTTTGCTGTTAAAATGACTGGAATTAATTGCGTTTATGAGAAACCATATTCTATAACGGGCAATGATATGTGACAAATTGAAGTATAAGCTGACATATGACCATCGATATACTTTTATTATTATTAATAACATCTATGAAAATTAATCAGTTTTTTATATAGTTTTATGTATAAACTTTAAATTACGTTAATACATTGATATGTATATGTTTATAATTATTACAGTTGTGCAAATACTCATGCATTCATAAGTAAGTAAAAAGAAAATTGAGAAATTTAATTAAATTGGTAATTTATTTTTTATAAAAAAGTAAAATACACAAAATTGTATAGAAAGAGATTTTAATACCTATGCATAGTTAAGTGTTTTTAATTATATTTATCATTGCATTTTTGTATAAATGTAAAAGACTTTAGAAAGTACGTTATATATCTTAAATTATATTTTTGTTTTTACATAATTTATATATAATTCGAAATTAATTTATATAATTTTTTGTATTATAAATTTAAAAACATCGATAATTCGGATATTTATAATACCTTTCCTATTGAAAGAATTGATATTATTTAAAAAAAATTTTTTTATATTAATATATAAAACAATAATATTAATAATTAATATTAATATGAAGAAAATAAATCTTTTTATTAAAAATTTTTTACACAGATTTTTACATTAATTAAATGTTGGCCATTTTTAATTGCATTCACTATTTTTCAGATTTATTCGGTTCTCGTGCTCGTGCTTTTCAGTTTTCATGTTCATGTTCATGTTCATGTTCATGTTCATGTTCGTGTTCATGTTCATGTGCTTCATGAAGTTCAGACATGATTTTTTCTTGAGCTTTTATATAACATTCAGAAAGAGCGAAGCTTTTTTCACATTTTTCTGTAAGATCTTTCGCTGAAATAGAAAAAGAAGTGAAGTACGTATCTTACACCTTTCCTGCGCTTATAATATTAAAATTCCTAGCATTAATTACATCAAGATTATTTAATATCTAATTAATATTATAGATATGTTTCACTAAACATTATTAATAATTTTATATTTATTAAAAACTAATTACCCGTACATAATGTGATTATATAACTTACTTTCATTTATGCAAT